TGGTGATTAAAGTGGTAGTAAAAAAAATAGGTAGTAAGAATATCCTAACTCATATATATATATATATATATATATATATATATATATATATATATATATAGGGTTTAGTGAGTGTACAGTGACTGGATACAAAATTTGATCCAGTGCACTAAGTTCTCCAGCGAGAACACAGTTATAGTAAATATTATAACTATGTTCTCCCGGGAGAACACCATTATAATATTTAGTGCACTAAGTTCTCGCGGGAGAACTTGGTGCACTGGACGGTCCAATGACTGAATTTGTGTTTTATATATATATATATATATATATATATATAGGGTCATGATCATTTTACACCAGTGTAAATTACACTCTCAATCTTGTCCATTGATCTAACTTATATCTAAAGGCTCTAATTTTTTTAGTAATGTGAGCCATTAGATACAAGTGGATCAATGGTCAAGATTGAGTGTAAGATTTCTAACTCTTACACCGTTACACCGGTGTAAGAATATCCTGTCTCATATATATATATATATATATATATATATATATATATATATATATATATATATACAATGGTGGACCCAGTATATTTTTTTTATGTCTGCACATTTAGGGCGAGATTCGGGGGCGCTGGCCCTGATTTTTTTTTTTAAAATCATGATCCAATTTTTGCTTCCGCTTCAAAAGCAAAGCTTTGGCGAATCAACCAAAGTTTTAAGGAAATAATAGATAATGATAATTAAAAAAAATAAACACCACAAAAAGATATTTGTAAAATATAGTATAATTGTAGGAGTTAATCGATCAAAAACTCACCATTATCAATGTCTATTTGATCCAAAGTTGGCTACTTTTGTTTCACAAAAAAATGTGAAAAATCTCATGTGATTCTCCTCCACTTGATGAAGTTGAATTTCAGGAATGTTGATGTTTATTAAGATTTGGAGCTAATAAGGTTTATATAAAAAAAAAGGAGACAAAGCAATGTACTAGGGTTTAAGCTTTAAGCTTTTAAGTTTTAATTGTAGGGGTTGATTGGGTTGGACATATTTTTACCTTTTTTATTTTATCTTCCTATTTCTTTTTTTTTCTTTTTCTTTTTAGAGTAAATATCATTTTGGGTCCCTAACAAAAAACACGATCCTCACTTTAGTCCCTTACAAAATAAAATTACTCGTCTGGTCCCTAAGAAATTCAAAATGGACCCATTTAGTTAAAATTGTGGTCCCTAACAAATTAAAAAAAGACCTAAATTAGTCCCTCAAAAGGACTAAAATGGGTCCACTTTGAATTTTTTAAGGACCAGACGAGTAATTTTTTTTGTAAAAGACTAAAGTGGGGGCCCTGTTTTTTGTTGGGAACCCAAAAGGATATTTACTCTTCTTTTTACTTGACTTGAATCACCCACCCCATGTGAATTTTTTTTCTCTCCCAATTTTGTGTCTGCAGGTGTAGACAAATGCACCCACCTGCATCTGCCATTGTATATATATATATGGCTTATCATTTCTAAAGTTTCTTGAGATAACTTTATCTTCGGCCACTGAATCATAATCATTCAAAGGTGAATCAATAAATATAAGGAAATAAATAAATAAAACGACATAGTTTTGGGCTGGTTTGAGACAAATATATCTCAAGCAACTTTCTTATATATATATATATGGGCTTATCGTTTCTCAAGTTGCTTGAGATAACTTTATCTCCGGCTACTAAATCACAATCGTACAAAGATGGATCAATGGTTATAAAGGAAGAGAGAGAAAAAGGAAATCATAACTATTCAAAGGTGAATCAATGGTTCCATTTCTCTTTCTGTTCTTTTCTTTTGTCTGTCATACCTTCCCCCCCCCCCCCCCACCCTCTTCCATTCGGTTTGCTTGCTTGGTTGTGGAGGTTCGGCAAGATGGGCATCACTAAGCTGGAGGTGGAGAAATTTGATGGGAGAAGTGATTTTAATATGTGGAAAATTAAGATGAACGTTGTTTTGGTCTAGCAAAAATGTGAGGATGCAATTGGAGCTGAAAAGGACCTGCCTGAAAACTTGACACCAAAAGAAAGGAAAGACTTGCTATCTTTAGCCCATTGCCTAATAGTTGTTAATATCTCTGACAGTGTACTGCGTAGGGTTAGCAAGATCACCAACCCTCATGAGCTCTTGGTGAAGTTACAAAGTCTGTATCAAACCAAGTCAGCCCCCAACAAAATGTTCTTGAAGGAAAGATTTTTTTCTTTCAAGATGGACCCTAGTAAGTGTCTAGAGGATAACTTAGATGAGTTTAATAGGTTAACTCTACAACTTGAGAATGCAGGGGTTGTTGTCTCTGATGAGGATCAAATTCTGATCCTCTTAAATTCTCTTCCTGACTCCTACAGACTGGTTAAGGATGCTATAAAATACAGTAAGGGGGATATGACGCTTGATGAAATTACTGAGGCATTGAGGGCTAAAGAAGTTGAAATAATTTCTCACAAAAAGCCCACTGTTGAAGGCTTCTATGTTAAAAGGAAGGGAAATAAAAAAGGAAAGTCAAACAATAAAAGGAAGGAGAACAACAACATTATTCCCTAAGGTAATCAAAGTGTCCAGGGAAACCAAGATAAGAGTAAAAGTCAACCACAAGCCAAAGTTGTGTGTTGACACTGCCATAAAGAGGGCCACCTGAAAAGGAATTGCCCTGAAAACCCAAGGAGTGTCCCCAAACAGCAAAGTAAAACTAAGTATGCAAATGTACTCACTGAGTTTGACAGTGTTGCGGCACTGGTTCTGTCTGATAAAGCTTTTGAAACTGAATGGGTGATGGATTCTGGGTGCACATATCATATGACACCCAGAAAAGTGTGGCTTAGTGGGCTGGAGTTTCAAAGGGGTGGCAAAGTCTTAATGGGGAATGACCAAGTGTGTGAGATAAAATGTGTGGGGTCTGTTATGTTCAAGATGGGTGATAGGAGCTGTAAAATCCTAAAGGAAGTGAGATTTGTTCCCCACATTAAGGAGAAACCTGATCTCCTTAGGGATGCTTGACTCTAGTGGCCTTGAGTTTAGAAGTAAGCAAGGGTTACTTGATATTGTCAAGGGATCACAAGTCCTCATGAGAGGAAAGCTTGTGAATGGCCTCTATATATTAGAAGGCCAAGCTGTCACACAAAAAGTTTGTGTGGCAGCTGCTAACACTGATGAATCCATTCTCTGGCATAGGAGACTTGGACACATCAGCAATCAGGGACTGTCTGAGCTGTATAAGCAAGGTATTATTAGCTCAAAAGGGGAAACTAGTGTAGAATTTTGTGAAAATTGTGTTTTAGGAAAAACTAACAAGCTCCCCTTTTCTGTTGCTAGCAATACCTCTAAGGCAGTGTTGGAGTATATCCATTCAGACCTGTGGGGGTCTCCAAATATCCCCAGTTCTTTATCTGGATGTCACTATTTTATTTCAATAGTTGACTTATATTCCAGAAGGGTCTAGACTAATTTTCTAAAACATAAGGATCAAGCTTTTGTTAGTTTTAAGGATTGAAAAATCCTGGTTGAAAATAAAACTGATAAAAAGGTTAAAGTTCTTAGGACTGACAATGGCTTAGAGTTTTGCAATAATCAGTTTGCTGATTTTTGCAAAGAGCATGGGATCCAAAGACATAGGACCTGTGCTGAAACACCCCAACAAAATGGGGTGGCTGAGAGGATGAATAGGACAATTTTAAATAACGTGAGGTGCATGCTTGCTGAATCTGGTCTTGGCAAGGTATTTTAGGCAGAGGCTGTTGCTACAGCCACCTATGTTATAAATAGGTGTCCTTCCTCTACCATAGACTTAAAGACCCCAGTGGAACTTTGGTCAAATAAGCCACCCAATATAAGTCACCTATAACCTTTCGGGTGTCTTGCTTATATGCATATTAGGCAAGATAAATTGAGTCCTAGAGCCTTAAAGTCTGTCTTTATAGGTTATCCCCTTGGTGTAAAAGGCTACAAGCTTTGGCTTATAGCTGAAAGGAAGTGAGTGGTTAGTAGGGATGTTATTTTCAAAGAAAATATTTTCTACAAGGACATTATGAGTGATCCCAGTTCTTCCCAACCTTCTGGAACTCTTCAGTTTGAGGTGGAGCAATCTGCCATACCTGAGCAGCATGCTGATGGTGAAGAACTGAGGAAACAGCCAGCTGTTCCTGGTTAACCAGATCTTGAAACTGGTCCCCTTGATGAAGGAGGACAGGTTGAAGAGGGAAATGGTGGTCTTGATGACTACTTGCTGTCACGAGACAGAGTTAGGCGGAATATTAGACCTCCAAGCATGTTTGCACATGCTGATGTGGTTGCATATGCCTTACAAGTTGGGGATGTGCTTGAGTTGGATAAACCTGCTACATTTAAAGAGGCTATGAGGGTAGAATCCAAAAATAGTTGGGTAAGAGCTATGGATGAGGAAATGGACTCTTTAAAGAGAAATAACACATGGATTTTGGTGGAGAGACCAAAGAAAAAGAGAGTAATTGGCTGTAAATGGATTTTTAAAAGAAAACCAGAGATACCATGAGTGGAACCAGCAAGGTTTAAGGCTCGGGTAGTGGCTAAAGGGTACTCCCAGGTTGAAGGGATTGACCACAATGAGATTTTCTCACCTGTGGTCAAACATGTATCAATAAGGTTGATGTTGTCTGCTATTGCTATCTATGATTTAGAGCTGGAGCAACTTGATGTCAAGACTGCCTTCCTCCATGGCAATATTGATGAGCAAATCTATATGGAACAACCTGAAGGCTTTGTAAAGAGGGGGACATAAAACATGGTGTGCCTGCTGAAGAGATCATTATATGGTCTCAAACAGGCCCCTAGACAATGGTATAAATGTTTTGATGATTTTATTTTATCAAAAGGTTTTGTTAGAAGTAGTTTTGATCATTGTGTTTATTTTAAAAATTTGCATGATGACTGTTACATTTATCTATTGATATATGTGGATGATATGTTGATTGCATCTAAAAATTTAAGTGAAATAAATTCTGTTAAGAATATGCTGAAAAAGGAATTTGAAATGAAATTTCTTGGACCAGCCAAGAGGATTCTTGGCATGGAAATTACAAGGACAATGGAAGATAGACATTTGTCACTATCCCAGTCTGAGTATGTCAAAAAGGTTATAAGAATCTTTGAGATGCATTTGTCCAAGCTTGTTAGCACTCCATTAGGTGCTCATTTTAGGCTCAAATCTGTTTCTGGAGAATTATCTCCTGAAGAAACACAATACATGTCATTTGTTCCCTATTCTAATGTTGTTGGGTGTCTAATGTATGCTATGATTGGCACAAGGCCAGACATAGCATATGGAGTTAGCATGATAAGCAGGTTTATGAGTAAACCTTGCAAAGAGCATTGGAGTGCAGTTAAATGGTTACTTAGATACTTTAATGGATCTATCAATTGCTGTTTAAATTTTTCTGCATTTGACTCTAATGATTTTAATATTGTTGGATATTGTGACTCTGATTATGCTACTGATCTTGATAAACGTAGATCACTAACTGGTTTTGTGTTTACTGTGGGAGGTAATGTGGTGAGCTGTAAATGCAATCTTCAGCACATAGTGGCATTATCAACAACTGAGGATGAATATGTGGTATTGACTAAAGCTGTCAAGGAAGCCATATGGTTAAAAGGTATAGTAGGTGAGTTGGGTTTATGTAAAAACCCACCAAAGGTAAAATGTGGCTCACAAAGTGCTATCCATCTTTCAAAAAATTCTGCATTTCATGAAAGAACAAAACATATAGATCTTAGGCTTCATTTTATTAGGAAATAATAGCTAGTGAACAAGTAATTGTTGAAAAAATTCTGGCATTATTAACCCTGCTGATATTTTTACAAAATCTGTACCTGTTAGCAAATTTAGAGATGCTCTACGTTTGCTAAAAATTGAACCACCATGATCATGCATTGCATATGGGCCTATAGGTTAAATGCATACACCAAATCTGGTTTGTATTTTTATTCTGTTGTATGTTTAGAAAATATGTGGAGTTTTGTAGTATAGAGATATATTTCCTAAACAAAATATGAACATAACCGTCGCTAAATATAGTATTACTTAATCAGAGGCGGTTTCAAACCGCCTCCAAAAGTAATACATACTACACTCGATGGTCATCCTGTGGCGGCTACACCGCCTTTGAAACCGTCGTTATATTGTTTTCGACGGTCGTTCCAGCGGGTCATTTTGACCGTCGTTGATTCCTTCCCGACGATTTATTTGGCGACGGTTGGTTAACCGCCGCACTACTATTTTTGCGACGGTTATAACCGTCGCAAAATGATAATTCAACTGCCGCTAAATGCACCTTTTCTTGTAGTGGCTGATCCTTTTTGTCTGATGGTTATTATATATCTGTGGGCCAAATGTGAATACTTGAGGCCCATTGTGGTTTTTTCTTATTCAGCTGAAGTTGGACTTTTGTACATTAAGAAACACATCCAAAATGTCAACTTTTTGGTGTGATGGCTTAATGATATATTTGCTCCCTTTTGCTGTGAGTAGAACATAATACATTCTGATTTTTTGATATATTCTCTCGAAAAGAAAAGCTCTGCTAGGGTTTGTTAGCTTGAGTGTTTTGTACAAACACTGAGTGAAACACTGTGAATTTGGCTATGATGCTTTGAGGAATCTTGTTCATCTCAACAAGACGGTTCTATTGATCGGTGAACTTTTCTGATTGGTGTTCAAACGGTGGAGAAGCTAATCTACAAGGAGGACCGGTGAAGCTCGTGGAGATCAGCTTGGAGGTCCAGAGATAGGAACTACGTTTCCTATGCTATCTTGCGAAGATTGGGAAGTCTTCTCCATTTCTCTAATATTTCTAGTTTACCGGTCTTAATCTTGAGTGTTAATTCAAGATCCTTTGTCTTGTTGTTAATTTCTTGAGAAAATAGATTCTTCATATGCTTGTTTCTGTATAGCTGCTATTGTATACATCAAACTCTTGTTTTCTTTCTGATCTTGAATAAAGTGCACATCAGAGGGCGTTTAACCCTCTTTAAGCCCCAAGACGTAGGAAATTCACTAATACTGAGTTTCTGAACCAGTAAAATACTGGTGTCTCCTCTCTTTATGCTTTTTTTATTCTTTCTTGCTATGTTCTGCTTGTTATTGTTTGTGAAAGGTATTCCCAAAATTACAACAAATGGGCTAAAAGTTGCTTATTCTTTTTTAATACATTGGTTATTCTATTTTAATACGGGAAAAATCAAAAAAATTGGATTAAACAATCTTAAAATTTCACTTTTGCATTAATAATTATATTTAAAAAAATTATTTATTTATTTTACATGGTTTTCTAAAATTTGATAGTTTGACATTTCCTTTTAGTAGCTGTGACACGATGAGATGTAAGTTTAAACTAAAAAGCACGTCATGTCATCATTAGTTTATAATATAGAGACTTAATTTTATTAGTTTAATTAAATAAAAATTTAAGTTTGGTGCACTATATATATATATATATATATATATATAGTCTTGCGATAATGTGTTGCCACATTATTTATTTAATAAGCTTGACATTGCCAACCTCATTAAATTATATAGTAACACATAATAAAAAAATAGAGTAAATTTTTTTATATATAAAGTGCATAAAAATTGAATTTAAAATAAAATTATTACAAATAAAATCGAATTTTAGTTAATCAAAAATTCAATGACTTTTCTTTTTAATGCGAATCTAGTTCAACTAAGTTCATACCAAACATAGAGGAAAAATAAAATTGAAAACAAACAAGATTTGAGTCATGGAAATATAATGAGGAAAGACCATTGCAGACACTTCAGTTTAATACTCTGTTTATCATCTAATCTGCAATCTATCTATACAGGATTTGAGATATAACAACAATCTTGGGTTGAAACCGATTGTTAGAAAATAGTATTATAACTCCCATGGGTTGCAGACTTGCAGTAGTATTCTTCAGACACTGAAAGAAGATAGGTATCCCTAGGTTATGTAGTAGCAGTAGTTAATTAGTTGTGTTTTCTTTTCCCCTTAGCCTTAAAAATAAATAAATAGTATTATACAATTTACAGTAAATAATGAAAAAAATAATTGTTACCATGATACGTAGCAGGAAACAAATCTATATATATATATATATAGGCTTTAATGTTTCTAACGTAAATGTAGATAAGTTATAATACATTTGCTTCCAAAACGACGTCGTTTTGGGTTGAAAAATTAAAAAATTATAATAAAAAATACTATTATAACCCTAAAATATATTATAATTACAAAAGTACCTTGCTTTTCGTCTCAAAACGACGTCGTTTTGGGCTCAATGTAGATAAGTTATCTACATTGACTGTAGAAAAAGCAAACTCATATATATATATATATATAGAGAGAGAGATATATATATTTCTTAAATAGCTTGAGATATATTTATATTTGTCTACCCAAAATTACATCATTTTATTTATTTATTTTCTTATATTGATTGATTCATCTTTGAATGGTTAAGATTTTTTTTTTCTCTCTCTTTCTTTATCACCATTAATCTATCTTTGTACAATATGATCTAATAGCCGAAGAAAAAATTAAGCAGTTTGAGATACAATAAGTCCATATATATATATATATATATATATATATATATATATGGGTTTAATAAGAGTTATGTTGTAGGAAAAGTGATTGTGTTATGTTATAGAGATTCGTTTTGCGTGCCAGAGATTTTTTTTTTTTTTTGGTTTCAAAAATTGTGGGTCCCACAAAATGTTGTGTGTGTAGGAAAGTTGTTGTGGTCATGTTAAATTATAGATACAAAACCCTATATATATATATATATATATATATTAGGAATCGTTTCCAACCCACCTTATTTTAGAAAATAATTTTAGATAGGCTATTTAATGATGTAATACATTATTTTCCTTAGAAACAAGTGTTGTTATGCAATTCAGTCTTGGGTGTTACTTTTGGAGATTTCTCCACCAATTCTTCAATTAATTGATTAATTCGGTTAAGTGGGACAGAACCACAATAACATGATCTTAAGCACAGTCTCCCTTTTGAATTTTGATTACACATTTCACAAATGAAATTGAATTTTTCAAGTGACTTCCTCCATAGCTGAATATGAACCCATTTATAGAAAGAATTCTCTGAGACAAAATACACACTATTGGGAATAATAAGCAACCATCCAATATACAAAATTTAGTCAAAGTTAGTCCACCACAAGAACAAAGTCTCTGATCCTTCACCAGGCTCAGGAGTGACAAGCCCTGCATAGTAAATCGTAATTGTTGTGCAAATATAAGAGTGTGCTTGGTAGGATTAAAGGTGGAAAGGTTATAGGTGTGAAATTGACCAGGTTGGACATCATGTAAGTCCAAGTAATATCTCATTTTCACCACTCAATTTTCCACCTTTTCCATTTTCACTCTTGCAAAATGCAAAGTATTACCCAAGCAGTAAATCAATGACTGAAGGGTATTTTATGGGGTCAACCGCTTCAAACTATATTAAAAAATCAGCTATGGTTGAAAGGGCACTGTTTATTTTGAGCAGAAGTGCAAAACTAATTATCAAGCAGGCAACATGATATAATTACATAAACTATAATACACCAAAATCAATATGACAAAGCAAAACGCTTTACTCTTATCATTGGCAAAGACAAAAACTGATCTTAGCATTGCATAATCAAGATCATGCATGGGGATTCATGAACACTACCACCCTGCAATTTATTGACCTATATATATATATACACACTGGTCCATGTAGACTGTTACTAGTTGGATAGCTGGATCATACATGTTGACTTCACTGATGCCTCAGGCTAACCAGTTCAATATCAAATACAAGTGTCCCTAAAGTGGAGCCTTCTCCATTTGCAAGGCGAGTTGGATTAAAAATGGTAGTGAAAAGCCTCTGCCTGTCAAAGAACTTTTTTCTTTGGGAGGAGGAAAGTTGAAGGAATAGGAAAAAAATTAGTACTGCAAGAACTAAAGAAAAGAGATTAAAAATATAATATCCAACCCATTTATAAATTGTACATCATACTAAAAAGGAAGGAGAAAAGAAAAATGGTTCAGAATTTCTTCCAAAATGAAAAAAAAAAATGTTAAAATGGCTAACATTTGCATTTTATACAGTAATCACTAACTAGCCCTTCAGTTAACATGTACAACTTCACAATGTAAAGAAAAATAATCACAGTTATAACACGACGCTTGTTACATTCCATAACTTTGGTGTTAGATAAGCTCCTTATAATATCAGTCTATTGTCCCTTTTTCTATTGTTTTCGTTTTTCTTTTCTAAGTCTGACATGTTGGCACATCGTGTGTAGTACATGTGTCAGGGAGGTGTTCATAGTGTTTGGGAAATATTTTAGGTACACCCGTCACACCACTGATTCGGTGCCAGAGGCGAATCCAGGTGTATGAGAAGGGGGGCAAGTGTCCACCCTTTAAATCTGATGCAAAAATACAAAAATGCCCTTCTCTTAAAATTCAAGTTTTCCCAATTTAATTTCCCTCCTTCTATTTTATTTTCCCGAGAGTTTTCTTTTCTCCTCCATCTTCATTATCCAAACCTAACAGCAGGGAGCTCTATTACAGACCCATTGTTTGCATCTACATACTGATTCATCTCCTCTCAAACCTCAATCTCCGTTATTGGAAGTTGGAACAGTTGCTTCTTCCTCCATTATCGGTCCAGTTGATTCGCAATCCGTCTAGATCTAGATCTAAACCAGACCCAGCTAGCCAGCAGCTGCTCGCAAGTCGCGTTTCAGACCAGACCCAAATCTATATGTACTTGAACTTATTGAGTGCCCATACTTCATTAATTTCTTGGATCCGCCACTGTTCAATGCGATGGACCAACCAAAATCGGGCATTTTTTGTGATGTGTGTACAAAAAGAGAAAAAAAAATATTTTTAATCCAAATGTCAATTTTTGAATGGAAGTCGTAGGTACATCGGGTGTATGCATCAAATGCTGCGCAATTCATTCTTCAGGGGGTTAAAGAAGACATGGTATCAGCAGGCAATTACAAAGAAATATATTGACATAGATTTTCACTAGTTTTCTCTGAGCAAAGTGTGCATAATGAAAAAACTTTCTATGCAGATATTGTAAACAAGCACAAACAAGCAACTACTGCTAGTATTTCTATAATTGCCAGTGGCCATTCAATTTAGAATGTTGAAAAATGCGCATATATCAATAATTATGAGCATGCTGAAGTTGACACTGCTATACAGTTTACAAACAATGAACATTATTTCTAGGTAGTAGATACATATGCATTTTTTTTTTAAAAAGAATGAAGTGGAAAATCGACCAAAGCTTTATCATATAAGTCATGAGCAGAAAAAGTTCCTACATTAGGTGGGATGGGCTCCTGTGATGTATTTTGATACCCAAGGGATGGAGGTATGATGACTCTACGAATACCACCTACTTTCATTGATCTCACTGCCACATCAATTCCAGCAATAACCTGAACATAGCATTTGTTTCCAATATGATTAGATTCTTTGTTAATATTGTTGGGATAATCAAGTTTGATAAGTCTCACATTAGTTGGTAATGAACTAAGTGAAGTGGATATAAATGGGAAGATCCATAAACCCAATTCCTTAAGGTTTTGGGTGAGACATGATATCGAATCCATTGATAGTGATTCTCCACCACGGGCTCCCCTTGTGCCGCCTAACAAATATGACATACAATGATAGGAAATAATTTAATAATAACTTTTCATAAAAGATCCATATAGAAGTCTGACATTTTGAAAGTCCATCACAAAAAACTTAAATGGCCTTTTTATAAAACATAAAAGATTGTAACTATAAATTTAGGTAGTGATAATACTTTACTTTTACATAAGTACAAAAAGAAAATGACAGATAAAATTTGAATCCTTAATTCTTGTATCCAGATCATATCCCTTGTAAATCTGTCCATATTAGGAACAAATGGTAAGTGCTTTTATATTCCACACACTGATATTCAGGCTTACCTTGCCAGTGCCAAGGACAAAGACAAAAGGATTAGGATCACCATTGTCATCTTTGTGGTCATAGGTTGAGTCAAAGCGCCATCCTTGTTTTGCTGCCAGTCTACCATAGTAGTGAATTGCAACCTTCAAAACAAGAACAAAACATTTATAACCGAGACCAAATGAATAAAATAAAGGATTCGTTTTTTTTTTTTAGGTTATTGCAGATAAGTTACGTGGAGTAAATTCAATACTACGTCGTTTTGAGACGAAAATCATGGTGTTTTTGTAATTTTAATTTATTTCAGGATTATTTTAACATTTATAATTATAATTTTTTAATTTTTCAATCTTAAGATGATGTCATTTTGAAAATAAATCAGATAACTTATCCGTAGAAATATTTTTAAAATAAAATAAAAGATTTACACACATATGTTTCATATTATTCTTTCTATAAATATAATCCTACAAATTCTCTTACTCTACCAAAAAAAAAAATCCATCAAGGCATAAAACAAGAAACTTTTAGTATTTGATATACAAAAAAAAAAAAAAAAAAAAGAAACTTTTAGTATTTAAAGGAGAGAAAAACCTGGTCCCCATCTGCGGGAACTTCACCTGAACCAACAAGGAGGTCCAAAGCCTTAACACCACCAGAATTTGGGAGCTCAAAGAAGTCTGATATGGGGTATTTTGGAGAAGGAGAGGGAGAAGAAGAGGAAGGAGGAGAAGGAAGTGAGAAGATGAAAGCAGAGAAGGTGGTAGAGATGAGAGACAGAGATAGAGGTCTTCTTGTAATTTTAGATGCTGCTGAACAAGTTGCAAACATGTTGTTACATGATGGATAAGGGATAGGGGCACTGACACATGTTGCACTTGCAGAGGCAGAGCTTTTTATTATCATCTTCAATTTCTCAGTCCTTGTATTGCTGCCAAACAAGGACTCAATAACTCCTTATTACGTTGTGCAATTAGAAATGAGAAATGCCAATATAGGTTAGTTAACTAAAAAATATTATTTTTTTCTGGAGAATTATGATTAAGAAGCTGCAAAAACAATTTTGTTTTATTTCATTCAAGTTTTCAGTAATTTTTAGAAAGACTTTAACAAAAATTCTCAGGATTAAGATCCACTCCCTATATACAGCCTCAATTGAATTAAATTTAAATTTATGAATACCCCTCAAGAATGGAAACAACTTCCTTTGCTAATTTTTTGGACTGTGTTGGATTTCACTTTATTCAAATGATTATTTAATGTGTTTAAATTTACTTTTTTTGCGAATTTTTTATTTTATTTTTTTGTAATTCTTAAGAGAGCTTTACAATAATACAATTATTTTTTCAAAAAAAAAATGTTAAAAATTAATGTATTTAGTGTCAAATTTATACAAAGGGCATTATAGATGACATTTTGTAATATCTTTACGAAAACTGAAAGTCCGTATTCCAGCACATGGTCCGAACTTTGGCTATATTTTTATTTTTTTTGGAAAAAATCTATATCATTTTAAAGGACACAAAGTTGTATCATTTTAAAGAAGAGAAAGAGATAGATTATGGAAGAAAAAGTGAAGAAAAAAAAGTTTTAAGAGTGTGAATCTCATCTCTTTGTGAGAGTGAAATGACATAAAAATGTATTATTTAAAATGATACATTTTTTCCTAATTTTTTTCCCTTCCCTTCCATTTGAATAATACTAATCCTTTTCGCGGCGTTAAACAAATAATGACCAAACAAACAATCAGAGAGAGTGCTTAAGAAATACATGTTAAGTCTTAAATTATCATATTAAAATAAAAAAACAAAAAACTATAGGCTAGTTTACAAGCCAAGCCACTGCCTAAAAATTCTCCAACGAGTGTTTGGTTCAGAAAAAAAAAAAATAATAATTTACTAGGAAAATGTAATTACAAGAAAAAACGTAAGAAAGTAAATTTGGTAGGAAAGTTTAAAAAAAGTTGTTTGATATCGCAAAATATTACTAAGAAACTTGAATTAAATATGCTGAGTGTATATTTGGTTAAAAATAAAAATTTGATAGGAAAATAAATAGAAATTACGAAAGTAACCTTTTTATAAAATTTTGAATGTTACATGTGGTTAAGAAGAGGGGTATTCTTGTCTTGATTTTATTCACTTTTTCAATTTCTCCAGTTTTCCAAGAAATACCATGTTGCAAACCGCATTCGTTAACAGTGTTGAAGTACCTTTTTTACATGCATTTGTAATTAGATAGGCAACTCTTTTTCATGGGTAAATGTCATGATTTCATTCTACCAAACGCGGAGAACAATAATGCAACATGCAATTCCCTAAGAAATTTTTGAGATATCCTGAAACAAACACTCCCCAAAAGTATTTTAAATGGCCCAACTAGGGTACTTTTCAAATATTGAGAAAAAAGTGTAAATCGATAAATAAATCTGCCAACTTATTCGAGCAAGACACCAAGAAGCTTTTTTTTTGGAATTACAGTGAAAAAACAACAAACTACAGCTATGTTTCTAGGCCAAGAAATACCCTAAAAATCATTCTTCAGCCTCTGCGAACAATCAGGTGGATGGTTGTTGAAGATCAAAGTATCCCAACTATGGAGATGAACTTAGGTAACAAACCAATTAGTCACACCATTTCCTTCTCTGTAGGTGTGAGTAATTTTTACTTCTCAACTACTATGAAGGAGAGAACGAATTTGCAGCACCAGATTGGAGAGGGGTGATGGGGAACATCCTTCCTTAATGAATTTTTGAGCAGCTTTTGAATCGCCTTCCAAGTGGCTTGGAATCTTGGATATAAAAAGATTCACATGGAAGGTGATTCAAAAGCTGCTCAAAAATTCATTAGGGATGTGCAAAATAACCAAAAAACTGAACCGAACCGCCCTTAAAATAACCGATTTTAAAAATCAGTTCATGAACTAAACCAATTTTTAGAACCAGTTTAAGAACCGAACCAATTTTTAGAACCAGTTTAAGAACCGAACCATTTTGAACCAAACCGAACCAAACCGTTTTCAAATCGAACCAAATTGATTTTTATAACTTTATTTTTTAATTTTTTAATTTTTTTTTCAAAAGAGAGTCGACCCAAACCAATTCTGAACCAAACCACTTCCGAACCGAACCATTTAAACAAATTCGGTTCGGTTTGACCCATGCACATCCCTAGTTCCAATACCAAGATTTTCAACAAAAAAACCCTAATCCAATTGCCAGAAGCATCTCTCAAGACACCGCCACAACCTATTCGAGCTCCGCCAACTTAAGGGAATTGCCAGGAAATAAGGGCATGTTCCCTGGGTTTAGGTTGCAAACTAGCTTTACAGAGGAGCTTTTGAGCATCAAGAAAATTTAGTTTAAGACTTTGAGCACTCCTAACAAGAGACTTAATAGCAGGATGAGTATTATCAAAAACTAATTCATTTCTACCAGCCCAAAGTATCCAACAGATAACACCAAACAAAAAGGCCCAATTTTGATTCATACGCAGGGGCGGGAAAGGAGATAAGTTATGAAAAAGCCATTCCGAGAAATTAAGAGAGAAGAAATAGAACCAGTTACAAGGATGTATAAAAGATTTCCAAACCTCCTTGGACCATGAGCAGTCCCTGACCATGTGGAGGCAACTTTCACACTCTTGAGGGCATCTAGGATAGGTATCAGAATCTGACATGTGTCTTAGATAGCTTCTCTTATTGGTAAGCAAATTCTCACCTTTGAGAAGCCAAAGAAAGCTTTTAATTCTTTCAGGGCCTTTCCAGCTCCAAATGAAATCTCAATTCCTTGTTGGATTCCGGTAAAAAAGTGGTATGCAGAGCTAATGGAAAATTTCTCATCCTTAGAGCTAGCCCAAGAGACTCGGTCTTGGCCATTACATATAGAAGGAGGGGATATTCCAGCAATTCTATGGAGCACTAGTTAGACCAAAAAGTGTTGAAATTTCTGCCAATTCCAACATCCAGAACTTGAGACAACATTTGAAACTTTCCACTCCAACACATCAGGGCTGATGGCTTCAACGGCTGAATCAGAGAGGGCATGGTAGTCTGGAAGCCAGGGGTTGTCCTTCCAACATGAGGTTTTGTTGCCATCACCAATGATAATTCTAGACTTACTTAGAACATGAGGCCAAGAGTTAATCAGACCTCTCCACGTGTTAGAAGCATTATGAAAGGGTTTAATTTGAGGAAGAATTTTATCCTCAACACCATACATGCTTTTGAGGACTCTAACCCACAAAGCATCTTGGTTGGTAGTTAAACCATGACCAATCTTCATCAAGAAGGCTTGGTTGGTTAGCTTTAAGTTCCTAAATCGGAGACCACCTTTCTTTGGACTTGCACAACATATTCCGGGGAAGAGCATGAACTTTCCTTTTCGAGGGGGGTGATCCCCAAACAAAGCCTCTAATTTTCTTCTCTAAAGAATCAAAAGTACTAATGGGGAATGAGGAAGTTTGCATGAAATAAGCAGGAAGAGAGGCAACACGGATTTTGCTAAGGTAACTCTTCCTACCATTGAGAGGGAAGACATTTTCTAAGAGCTTAACCATTTATTTGTCTTATCAAAGATGTAACTGAAAGAGGATTTGCCTACTCTGTGATGGTGAATAGGAATTCCCAAGTACTTTTCAAAATCAAGAATGCTGGCATAGCCCAAATTCTGATTGATCTCTGAAGCTCTTGAGTGGTTCACATTACGGGAGAAGAAAACCTTTGTTTTGGATGTGTTGATCTTATGGCCCGAAGCAGAACAAAAATGATGGAAAACATGACTAATAGTCTCACCCTGATCAAGAGAAGCTTCCGAAAAAAAAAGAGAGAAGATCTGCAGAAAAGAGATGGAATATAGGAAGAGATGGGATATAGGGGAATTTGAATAAACAGGTTGCATGCAGGACTCAAGAATTCATGTTCTGCGGGGCAATTTGACTGCTCTTTTTAGGCTATGTGTAGCTTTGTTCTCGTTCACAAGAATCTACGCAAAATTCATGAACATTTAGAAGTCAACTAAAAAAGTACACAAATGAATACCCAAAAAAAAGTACACAAATATAACCACTAGAAGTTCAAGGGCCTACATCGGTTAACAAAAGGGACACATAATGCCCCAGAAACATTATCATGCATGGAAGGGTCCTTTTTAACAAAAGTAATAAGGACATAGGCGAGACAAGTAAAAGTTAGGTAATTATCAGTTGCATAATGAGAAAAGATCTCGACTAATTGTCAACTTTTTTACCGTAAGGGACAAAAAATTTGCTCAAGAACTTGATAAAAGTAGCGATTATGGCAGAAAATAGGAATTGTATGGAAAGCAGCAAAAGGAAAAATGTGAAAGAAGAACAAAGCTTTGAGGCAAAATGCATGTTTCTCTACTTTATGGGAATATTCCACATTATCTACCTGTTATGCTACAATTTAACTACCTTTTACTAAGTGAGAAAGAAAATATCTTTTAGTGTTTACAAAAATAATTAAAAACTATGTTGAGAAACTTCTCTGATGTTGAAACCTGTTTTCCACTTTTTCAATAAGGCCCTTTGCACAAATACTATGATAATGCATCACAATCATTTCTTGGATTGTTGCTGTAGCTTGAATACTGTGGCAGTGTTATTTTATATTTTATAAGTTAACTTGCTTTTGTTACGTTAGATGGCTAGGATTACATTTATTTTAAAGGGATATCAATGTTTTTTAATTAGGGTTTCTATCCTATGTAAAAAACGGTATGAGAATAAAACGGTACAGTTTCATATTGTTTATAATAGTAAGTTTTTCTGCTATTTCCTTGGTTGTTAACCAGAAGAAGACCAGCAATCTATTGGGCGAACCAGATCACTGTGCTAATTATTTACTCTCCCAATTCCTCTTGCATTGAGAGATATAGATTCAATTGGGGCTTTTATAGGGGTCATAAGAATTATGCATGTACAAAGAGATGAT